GGAGGATTGAGCGAGAATGAGTAGGACTGAGTGAGGAGGAAGAGTGAAGAAGAGTACTGAGCGAGGAGGACTGTATGGAGGACAGAATGAAGAGGAAGATTGAGCGAGAAGGGGAGGACTAAGTGAGGAGTAGGAATGTGTGAGAAGTGAGTGAGGTGGAGGACTGAGGAGGAGCACTGTGTGAGGAGGAGGACTTAGTGAGGAGGACTGTGATGAGTACTGAGTGAGGAGAAGGACTGAGGAGAAGGAATGTGTGAGGAGGAGGATTGAGTAAGGAAGAAGAGTGAGTGAAGAGAACAGAGAAGAAGGACTAAGGAGGAGGACAGGGAGGAGGAGGAATACTGAGTGAGGATGAGGACTATGTGTGGAGGAGTACTGAGATAGAAGGACAGAGTGAGGAGGAGGGCTGAGTGAGAAGGAGGACAGAGGGTTGAGGAGTACTGAGTGAGGAGGAGAACTATGTAAGGAGGAGGACTGGGTAAGGAAGAGGACCAAGTTAGGAGGAGGAGGACTGAGTGAGGAGGATGACTGTGTGAATAGAAAGAAAGAGTGAGGAGGACTGAATGAGGGGGAGGAAGAGGACTGAGTGAGGAGGTGGAGGACTGAATGAGGAGGAGAATTGTGTGAGGAGGATTGTGTGAGAATGTGGAGGACGATTGAGGAGGAGACTGAGAGAGGAGAAGGACTGAGTAAGGAGGAGGAGGAATGAATGAGGAGGACTAGATGTGGAGGAAGAGAATTGAGTGAGGAGGAGGACTGAAAGGAAAGGAGGACTTCACACAGGAGAAAGACTGTGAAGAGGAGTGAAGAGAATTGAGAGAGATAGACTGAGTGAATAGGAGGACTGAGAGGAGGAATGAGTGAGGAGGAGGACTGTGTGTGGAGAAGGACAGAGTGAGGAGTAGGAGGGGGTGAGGTGGAGGACTGTGTATGGAGGAGGACAGTGAAGACAAAGACTGAGTGAAGAGGACTGAGCGAGGAGGACTGAATGAGGAGGAGGACTGAGTGAGAAGGAAGATTGAGGAGGCTTGAGTGAGGAGGAGGAATAAGTGAAGAGGACTGAGAGATGAGAAGGACTAAGGAGGAAGACAGTGAGGAGGATGACTGAAAAGGAGGAATGATTGAGGGGGAGGACTAAGTGTGGAGGAGTCTGAGGGGGAGGATTTTTGAGGAGGAGGTGTGTGAGGAGGTTGGACTTAGTGAGGAGGAGGACAGCGTGAGGAGTAGTAGGACTGAGTGAGGAGGAAGATTGAATAAGGAGTTTGGAGGAATGAGTGTGGAGAAGGAATGTGTGAGGAGGAGGACAGGGTTAGGAGGAAGAGAAGGATTGAGTGAGGAGGACTGACTGAGGAAGAAGAATGAGAGGAGGATGAGGATGGAGTGAGGAGGACTGAGAGAAGAGATTGAGGAGAAGGCAGACTGGGTGTGGAGGAGGACTGAGTTGGAGAAATGAGTGAGGAGGAGGACTAAGTAAAGAGGATGACTGTGAATAGGAAGACTGAGTGAGGAAGAGGACTGAGTAGTTGGAGAAATGAGGAAGTGGAGGAATGAGTAAGAAGGAGGGGGACTGTGAGGAAGAGGACTGTATGAGAACTGCTTGAGGGAGAGGACAGAGTGAGGTGGACTGACTGAGGAGGATTGAGTGATGAGGAGTACTGATTGAGGAGGAGGAGGTCTCAAATAGGAGGAGGACTGAGTGAGGGTAAGAACAGAGTGAAGAGGAAGATGGATTGAGGAGGAGGAATGAGTGAGAAAGAGGAAGAATGAGTGAGGAGGAGGCAGACAGAGAGGAGAAAGACGAGTGAAGAGGAAGGATTGAGTGAGGAGAAGGACTGAGTGAAAAAGAGGACTAGGTGAGGAGGAGGATTGTGTGAGGAGCAGGAGGACTGAGTGAGAAGGAGTGATTGAGGCGAAGGACTGAGTGAGCAGGAGGCCTGAGTGAGAAAGACTACTGAATGAGGAGGAGGACAGAGTGAGTAGCACTGAATGAAAATGAGGGCTGAAGGAGGTTGAGTGACGCGGACCAGCCCAGTTGGGGTCCCACACCCGTGGGAAAATCAGGTGTTCAGATAATCAGGTTAGACACAGGTAGGCGAATTGACAGACAGACCTGCACACCAGGGAGTGTTTTGAATCTGCTGCACTTTACTGAAGTCATGCCAACACTTTTATAGCGAATACATATAGAAGCACCTGAAGTTGACATATTTCCTGGAACATTATAAAGTTTATATTTTAACTGAAAGGCGATCTGGTAAAAGGCAGTGTCTACAAAAAAAATCTTGGCCTAAAAGCCTTTTAAGCAGAGCAAACATAGAACTAGTGACTATTTACGCAGCGTTATTGCTGCTAATGTAGTGAGTAGAGGGCCAGGGGCTGTTAAGCTTGTGGTTTGTTTACGTAGTTTATTGTTATTAGCTAGGGGCTGTTAATAGTCCTCCCAGCTAAGTCGGCTAAAGATTTACAATTCTCCCTAGAGATAAGCACCCAGAGGAATTCCTCCTGTTTGTCTTGCTAAGGATTTACAATCTTCCCTAGAGATAAGATGCTTGAGCTAGCCTGTCCGTAAAACTCATAGTATAATATAAAACTTTCTGACCTCCTGTGTTTGCCTATCTTCTTTCTGCCTCACCATAAACACCTGTGTAAAGCTCTTACTCTTTTATTACCTACAATGTTTGGATTTTCTACAAGCAATTTCTGATACTGAATCTGACTCATTACTTTTTCTAAGATTTTATTTCTCTCTTACTCTATTCTTGCTAAAGCTTTTAATAATTTATCAGAAATGTGTTTCCTTGAATAGTTAATTGTGCTGTTCCAAGAGAAACAGCCAAGAAGCTCATTAATCCAATTTTGCAACCGAGTAAGTGTGGGACTCTCAGAATACGTCTTTTTGGCTTAGGTGGCCATGTTAGGGTTCTTGCCATTGACCTCCAGGGAGCTTTTTTTCTGAAGAAAACGTATCTCCAGTCTAGTAGCACAATCTATTGATATGCTACACTGACGACACTGGACAGGGTGTAGCAGTCGAGGACTGGGTGAGGTCGAGGACTGAGTGAGGAGGACTGAATGAAGATGAGGAGGAGTGATTGAGAAGGAGGACTGAGTGAGGAGGAAGAAGGACTGAGGAGGAGGAATAAGTGAGAAGGAGGACTGAGTGTAGAGAAGGACTGAGTGAGGAGGAGGAATGAATACGAGGAGGAGTGAGTGAGGAGGAGTACTGAGCGAGAAAGAGGACGACTAAGTGAGGAGGAGGACTGAGTGAGTAGGAGGATTGAGTGCAGTGGAGGAGCCAGTAAGGAGGAGGAGAAGGGCTGAGTGACAAGGAGGAATGAGATAGGGGAAGGACTGAGTGAGGAGGATTACAGATTGAGGAGGAGGAATGATTGAGGGGGAGGAATGAGTGTGGAGGACTCTGTGAGGAGGAAGATTGTGTGAGGGGAGGACTGTGTGAGGGGGTTGGACTTAGTGTGGAGGAGTTAGTGAGGACAACTTAGTAGGAGGACAGAGTGAGGAGTAGTAGGAGTGAGGGAGGAGGTGGAGGACTGAGTGAGGAGGAAGACTGTGTGAGGATGAGGACTGAGTGAGGAGGATGTGAATGAATGAATGAGGAGGATTACTGAGTGAGGAGGAGGACAGTATGAAGAAGACGACTTAGTGAGGAGATAGACTGAATGAGAAGGAGGAATGAGTTAGGAGGAAGATTGGGTGAGGAGGAGGATTGCGTGAGGAGGTAGACTGTAAATAGGAAGAATGAGTGAGGAGGACTGAGAGAGGAGGTGAAGGACTGTGGTAGGAGGAGTACTGAGTGAAGAGGAGGATTGAATGAGAATGGGGAGGACTGCGTGAGGAGGAGTACTGAGAAAAGGAGGACAGATTGAGGAGTAGTAGGCCTGAGTGAGGAGGAGGACTAAGTGAGGAGGAGCAGGACTGAATGAGGAGGAGGAATGAGTGAGGAGGATGACTATGTGAATAGGAAGAATGAGTGAGGAGGACTGAATGAGGAAGAGGAGGACTGTGTGAGGAGGACTGAGTGAAGAAGAGGATTGAGTGAGGAGGAGGATTAAGTGAAGA